CAGAGTTTTCTTGTTTACTTTAAGTTCATTCTTTCAGTACTCAAACATATGGTCCTTCGACTGAATTTTTTTTTTGTTTAAAGTAGAGCATAGGCAATAGATTTAAATTCGATTAAAATAATTGCGGAAATTATTAAAATAAGAGAAAATATTCGTAATACACCATAGTATTCGGATTGTATGAAAAAAGTGAAGCCGTCACACCATAGTGTCGTGCGTTGTTGCTTGGATTTGCATTGCGTGAAAAAATATAGCGGTCACACCAAAGTGACGCGCGTATATTTCGCTGGAATTGAATCGCATGAGAAACATAGCGTCGCACCAAAGTGACTGTGTGAATATTGTGAAAATTGACAGCACACCAGAGTGTTGCAATTTGGTAAAGAGAAATTGAAAGACATTTTTTTTTCCGTGAAAATAAATAAAATAAAGAACATTTTTTTTCGGATTCCAGATTGTTTCTCCCATCGTCGTTGTGTGTGCGTGAATAGCGGCTGTCTCACCACAGAGTCAGTGCGCGGTGCACACAGTCAGTGGTTTTTTTTCCACTCGGTTGCTTGTGAGCAGGTGCATAATTGCTCGAGAGCAGGCGCGTATTTGCTTGAGGGTAAAAGTGCAAACGGTACTTATTGCGTCGCACACATTAAATTGAGAGCATTTTTGGGTACGTACACCACAGTACGACTGCGATTTTTTTGATTTTTTTTTGGGCACGTACACCACAGTGCGGCCGCGATCTTTTTTTCTGTCTTTTTTTTGAATTTTTCGAATTCATCGTTGTAGCATCATGCCAAAGAATGGGAAAAAGAAGAAATCAACCCGTCGCGAGGAGAGCGACGATGACGTTATCGAATTGCATCACAATGGCGATGTTGAATCCGATGCGTCGAACAGTTTTTGGCACATAAATCGGATCGAAGCGGATGCTCGCTCGAAACCACGCCGAGGACAGAAAGAAAATATGTATTGCCTCATTGATACATGTGTGGTCGGCTTAGAACGAATTTTAGGCATCACGAATGATGCCAACTTTGAGGAATTGCCGTTACCAACGATCGAAAGTCAAATCGCATTAGTTAAAATGTATCATGCCAAAGCATTCAATCACATAGTTGACAGCACTGAAAAGGCCAACGCTAAAGCAATGATGGATATGAAAAGCGTGATGGAGAGAGTCGATGCGCTGCATGAAAATTTAATGAATGTGCTTGCCAAAAGAAAAAGAGTGTTGGAGCTTGAAGAAGCTGGTGTAATGAATGCTGCACAAAGGCAACCAGCTGCAATGAACCGTGATTCATTGCCTGATGTCAAGGTCAAAAAGGTTGAAATTGAGAAGTTCGATGGTGATGAAGAAAAATGGCCGCAATTTAAGTCCAGTTTCGAGGATTGTTTTCATAATCGGTCTGATATGACCGGGTCAACCAAATTTTACCATTTGATGAATCATTTACAGCCAGGTTCTGAAGCGTACGATACCGTTAAAGGGTTGCCTCGAACCGACGAAATGTATGACGGTGCTTGGAGAGCATTAATCGAAGCGTATGAAAACAAAAGAAGAATCGTGAACAGAATTGTGTTGTCATTCTTGGACATGCCAAGTGTTGAATCGCCATCGCGTCAAGGCCTCATTGGATTGGTCAATCAAACGAATAATTTATTGCATTCACTTCCGACGTATGGAATTCATGTACAGCATTGGGATCCCATTCTAGTGCCATTGCTGCTACGGAAATTGGATGGAGAGTCGATTCGTTTGTGGGCTTTGGAGCGCGACCAAAAGAAAATCGCTGAGATTCATCCATTACTTGATTTTATTCGCAAGAGAGCTGATGGAATGGACGCTGAATTTGTGATGAATGTTGGTAGCTCATCACATAAGTACACATCGCATAAAAGCGCATCGAACGGTAATTCATCGACTTTGTCGAAGCGACATTTTAGAGGTGCTGAGTCATCGGCAAGTCTGCCAGTTGGAACGAATAACGGTGCTTCGTCTAAGTACACGCATGATCCAAACAATGTGAAGAGACGACGTGGCAATTGCTATCATTGTAATGGGCAACACCAGTTGTTCGCGTGTGAATCATTTGGTCGAATGTCGATTGAATTGAGAGAAGAGAGGTTGAACACGTTGAACATTTGCACGAAGTGCCTTCGCAGAGGTCATTCAAAGGATTCTTGCACAATTTCAAATTGCAATTGCGGTGGACCGCATAATCGTTTACTGTGCCCACAAAAGAACAACGCAACTAGTGTGATGTCAATGGTTAATTCAGGTGCCGTGACTGACATCGATGCTACGTTGATTGCAACGCTAAGAGTCGCTGCAAGTGACAAAAATGGTAACGTTGTGAAGGTAAGAGCAATGGGAGATGGTGGATCGCACATGTGCATGATTTCTCACCGACTTGCTCAAATGCTGAAGCTCGAACAAATCAAATTGTCCGTTCCAATGCGTGGACCCGACAACAGCAATGTGGTTTCAAAGGCAATTGTTGACTTGAAAATTGCACCAACGAATGGTTTGAGTGATGGTGAATGGATTCGTGCTGGGGTTTTGGACCGCATTACATCACCATTGCCAGTCAAACAATTTGATATCGATGATTGGGATCACATTCAAGGTTTGCCTTTAGCTGATGCAACATTCAATGAACCGGATGAGATAGACATTTTGCTCAGCGTTGAATTCATGGCGCGTATACAATGTGATGGACTGCGAAAGAACGTCAGCAATCCGAAATTGCCCGTCGCTAGCAAAACGAAATTTGGATGGCTGATTTATGGCGCATTGCCAGAAACTCAACGGTTTGGCTCGGTTGCACATATGGCTTTTGAAGAAAGTCAAAACATCGCTAAAAGTCTGGAAATGCTTTGGAATGTCGATATTGTCAAAGAAAGGAAGCTGTTAACGGCTGAAGAAGAATTGTGTAAGCAAATTTTTGAAAATAGCGTCACCAAGGATAGCGATGGACACTACGTTGTTGCTATGCCGTTTGTACCGAATCATCCTCAATTGGGTAATTCATTGCGTGCAGCGATTGCACGGCAGTATCAAAATGAGTCGAGATTTCGGAAAAATTCTGCACTTAAAGCAAAATACATCGAGGACTTGCAACAGTTCATTGATTTGGATCACATGGAGCTCGTGCCATTTGGTGAAGTGAATAAGCCTGATTCCGAGGCTTATTACATACCACATCATGCAGCTAGGACGAAAAAATTCAGAGTTGTTTTCGATGGTTCAGTCAAAACATCGTCTGGAGTTTCTTTGAACGACATATTACTAAATGGCCCTCGTGTGCAAGAGGATTTGACGTCAATTATTATGAGATTTCGAACTCATCGCATCGCATTGACAACTGATATAACGAAAATGTACCGTCAAGTGCGTGTGCCAAAGGAACAACGGGATTTTTTGCGCATTGTTTGGCGTGAAAATGAGAATGAGCCATTAAAACACTATCGATTGAAAACACAGACGTATGGGTTGAAATCGAGCGCTTATTGTTGCATTGAAACTTTACGTCACTGCGCTCGTGAGCATGCAAATGAATTTCCGATGGCATCGAAAGCGGTTTTGGAATCGTTTTATGCAGATGATGGCACATTGGGAGCCGATAATGACACCGAAGCAGAAGAATTGTATCGGCAACTGAATGCGATGTTGGGAAAGTGTGGTTTTCCATTAGCCAAGTGGGCTTCCAACAGTAATCACATGCGATCGGTCATTGGAGCCACATCGAAGACGATTGATTTGGAATTGTTCAACGAAAATTCTGTGTTGGGAATAAAATGGTCGGTTCAAGAAGACTATTTTCGATATGAATTTTGCGATGAAATTCAGGATCATCCGCCAACAAAAAGATTCATCATAGCGTCGATAGCAAAGTTGTACGATCCAAACGGATGGATTTCGCCTGTCATTATTTTGGGAAAAATGCTCATAAGAAAGATTTGGCTCAGCAAATGTGACTGGGACACCATAGTACCAGTGGACTTGCAAAGTGAGTGGAATGAGTTTCGTCATGCGTTGAAAGATTTATCAAAAGTAACCATTCCGAGATGGCTTGGAATATCGAAAGAAGCGTTTGTGGAAATTCATGGTTTTTCGGATGCATCTAAATTGGCATACGGCGTCGCTTTCTACACCAGAGTAGTAAGTGTTGATGGTCGCATAAGATGTTATTTGGTGGCATCGAAAACGAGAGTTGCCTCGCTTAAAGGAATGACTATTCCCCGTTTAGAGCTGTGTGGTGCTTTGTTGATGGTACAAATGTGTGAGCAGGTTTGTGTTGCACACAGCGTATCGTATGAAAATGTCACGTTGTGGTGTGACTCGAGCATCGTAATTCATTGGTTGTCGAAATGTCCAACCACCATGAAAACATTTGTTGGAAACAGGATAGCCGAGATTCAAGAATTGTCCAAAGGCATACAGTGGAAACATGTGCGTACGAAAGATAATCCGGCAGACCTAGCATCGAGAGGTCTAATTGCAACGAATATTGTCAACAATGCATTTTGGTTCAACGGCCCAGAATGGCTTGTGAAGGAAAAAGATGAATGGCCTGTGAGTGCGTTTGTTGTCGATCGTCAAGTGGAAGAAGCTACGGTTGAAGAAGCCAAACCGGCACCAGTGTTGATGACCATCACTCAGGTTGATGTGGTGCCACGAATTGAAGTTGAAGTCAAAGGTGGACCGAGAGAATCACTTTTGGATCGATGTGGCTCAATGAAGAAGTTGGTACACGTAACAGCGCGTGTATTTCGATTCATACGCAGAACAAAAGACAAGATTCATTTCGATTCCATGTGCATTTCGGAAGAAGAATACTTGAATGCACAAGCATTTTGGATAAAATATCATCAGCGTCAGTTCTTTGCCAAAGAAATTAGTATTGACACACAATCGAATGAAAATCGTGAAGAGAAGATGAAGCATTTGAACGTCGGACGTGATTCGTCAATCGTGAAATTGACACCGTTTGTCGATGGAGATGGAATCATGAGAGTCGGAGGTCGAATCAAGCGTTCGTTGATGCCTTTTGATACGGTGCATCCGATTATTTTGTATCACACGTGTCGATTCACTCATCTATTGGCCTTGGAAGCACACATGGAAACGTCGCATGGAGGTAATCAATTGTGCATGCAATACATTCGTCAACGGTTTTGGATTATCAACGTTCGTAAAGCCATAAAGCGTGTCACACTCAAGTGTGTGCCATGTTTTCGTCAGCGCAAGGAAACTGCTACTCAACTCATGGGAAGTTTACCTGAAACCAGAGTCACGTCTGGGTTTGCATTCGAATCGGTTGGAATCGATTACTGTGGTCCGGTGACAGTTAAAGAGAGATTGGGAAGAGGAAAGAAAACGTACAAGGCGTACATCGCTGTATTTGTTTGCATGAAGACAAAAGCAGTGCATCTCGATTTGGTCACAGATTTAACAACAGATGCATTCATGGCTTGTTTGTCGCGTCTAATTTCGTTGCG